AAATTAATAAAAAATTAAATATATGATATTTATAATTAAAATAAAAAATAATTTTATCACTTTTATAATAAAAAAATAATTATTATTAATTAATAATTATTTTTTATTTTGTATCCTAAAACACAGGATAAATAAATTTAATAAAAATCTCCGAAGGGGATGTAACAGCTAACGACAGACAAAGATGGTCCAGGTCACACTTCGCAAAATGGAAAGTGGAAACAGAAAGTAGAAAGCCGGAGAACGGTACTAAGAAAACAACAGTTCGTGAATTATTATTGAGAACAGTGAGAAGGACCACAAAGACGAAAGCAAAAGCAGCATCATTTGAACAAAAAGCAAGTGGTTTTGGCAAAATCGAAAAAAAGAAAAAGAAAAAGCAATCGCAACAAAATTAATTATTAATGATTTGAAAAATTGTGTAAAAATATTATAAAAAATTATTTTTTAATTATTTTTCTAATATTTTTCTAAAAGCAAAAACTATATCCCTTTCATCATGGTCTGAACTGTTTCTAATTCGGCCAGCCCCAATTGGAGAACAAGGCCCCCTAAATGTCTCATAATTATTTAATTAGGAGTCAACTCGGCTCTGAGCCAACACTTCTGACTTCTTTTGCCTCTGCTTAGGCAGCCACGGCCTACTTCATTTACATAATTATGTTAAATTGGAATTAAGTTAAAGATTGTCAACTCAAGAATTCAACCCCAAATTTTTGGTTTTGATTTCAATTTCAAGGCTAAAACCAAAACATACATATGATTTTTTTAGGTTTGGTATCTAAATTTTTAATTATTATAAATTTAGTTTCAGTTTTAACCAATAATTGTCAAATATAATGTACGATAAAAGTTGTAATATATCAAAACTGGTGAGAGAATAAGAAATATCAACATGGAAAAATGTAAAAAGGTAGATAAATGGACGAAAGACTTGAATTTTGAATTTTATTTTTTGATTTTTAGATATTTTTAAATTTAAAATTTAAATTATATTAAAAAAATTTATAAGGTGACACATGATAATAATATTAAATAAGATGATTTTTATGTTGTTTAAAATATTCAAATAACAATTATTTATTTATAAATATTAAAATTTATTTTTTAATAATATGTTCAATTTTTATTTTTAAATTCTCAAATAAAAAATCATTTAAATTGAATTATTTACTTAATTTTTATTCATTTTCAATTATTCATTTAATTAACCAACAATTTGTTCAACCTTAGCTCACATTACAACACAATAAATAATATAAGTAAAACTCACACACACAAATAAAAA